TGTATTTTGTTGGTGACTTCTGTTTTGAATTGTTTGTATTATGGCTGTGCTGTTTTGCAGGTATATATACCATTTGGTTTTGGGCTGTTGGGGTTTGGGGTTGTTTGGCGTCGCTTTGGGTTGTAAGGGCTTGTAGTTGTTTTGTTTGAGTGTTGGGTTTCTTTGCGTATAGTTGGGTCCTAAGGGGAGTTGTTTCCTTGACTGTTCTTCTTTCGTATCTGATAGTTCTGTCTGACTGTCTGTTAGAAACTTTGCTGTCCCTAAGTTGCTTGACATCTTTCTTGTTCGGGTTGGTTGCTGCGTCATTCATGAACGGAAAAGAGTTTTTTGATTAATTTTTTGAACAAAGCAACAACCTTTTCCAATATACTCAAAAGAAAACATATAATGAATAAACAAATCAAATATATACACAACCAAGTATTGATGCTAGCAATAACATACTTGTTGTCAGACATGATATTACTAGAGCCACAATGTAACAAAATAATGGAAACTCTAAACAACTTATACAAACACAAATAAAATCTTGCAGCCACAATATCAAACTTAATCCTCTTCAACCCCATAGAATATGGTTTTTTCCATATATGGGACAGACAATTGCTACTCCATGTGAACAACTGGCATAGAAGAATTAACAACAATAATCTCATTGGAAAAATTACTGCAATTAGACTACAAGCACTACAAAACCAATGGTAATCAACAAACTTAATAATCGGAGAACACTTCACAAAACCATTCATTCCACATGGACATGACCTCATATATGACATAATTTTTTTTCTACAACAGCATGGTGTAACAGGTAAAATTGGGACACGACGTCTGTCACATAACCAATTGTCGCATTGGTATCCCGACGACTATGAAATATTAGGTAATAAAGAGAGAGTCGAGGAGGATTATAGAAAGAATTATATCATCCAGCTTAGTCATGACATTATTATTATTAGTGCTTATTATTCCATAGCCAAGACGTCATAGCTAGAGGTAACAAAAGAGAAGTATAAAATAATATAGAAAATGTAAGAGATATAGGGGAGTCGTAGAACAAATAGTGATAGCGAGTAAAAGAAAATTAATAAAGACTCGGTCAAATAATACGTCTCAAATCACCTTTCATTTTTTATTTACCCTTGTAACAGTTACGCAAATCTCTGCTAGAGTGAGTGACAGACTCGCCGATAGACCATTACAATGGGTTCCGCAGAAACATCAATGATTCATACAATACCAAAGCTAGACACAACACTAGAAGAAGTAATGGGCAGCCAATGGCATCACAAACACAGAAAACAACTAACAAAAAATAGAGTAATGTTTGTACACCAATATATCAACTACCAAGGTAACAGATTAGCAGCATAACAAGAAATCACACTTCTGAATCAACAGCCAAACAAGCACAAACCCAAATGGTATATATACCTGCAAAACAGCACAGCCATAATACAAACAATTCAAAACAGAAGTCACCAACAAAATACA